AAAGACTAAGAATTGTGGTTTGGTAATGACAATTGTAAAGGTGATTAAGATGAAGGAGCTTAATACACACTTTATAAAGATCAAGGGTCACTTAGATGATATTTTCAATAATCTTGCAGATTTGAAGGCAAAAAAAAGTTTCAAGTTAATGGAGTACCTAAACCCGGAAGCATTATATATGAAAGGCCACAAAATAAGATACACATGGGAAGGTAAATTAGTTGAAAAGCCTATCTGTTCTTTTGTTAAAATAATGAGGAAAGTGTTATTAAAAACAGAATAGGCTTTTGCACATAATATGCATAATAAAATTCATCAAGAAAGAAAGAGTACTCAATCTTGGTCCATGCTGCGCAACATAATGAGAAGCAGAACCAGACAATGAAACTATACCTTCAAATCAAATACATTATAGCTCTTTGAAATAAAGTGTATAAACAACATGCTTCTAGTGTTCAAAAAACTCAATCAGAGAAGGCCGGAAATATACAAGACAGATAAATGTGTCATATATAAAAAGAAGAAAGAGAATGTAAAACACCTGGTAAGCTGTGAAACCTCCCTGAACCTACTCTGCGAGCTAGAGGAGCAAGTAGTAGAAGCAACCCTGCTTGAATTAAAGATAGAAAATTGAGAGAGAATCAAAGAAGAAGTCTTAATAATGTTAAGAAAGGGATTCCAAACTGAAGAATTATATAAAAGAGAAAGATGGATTAGAGGCCTAATCACAAAAGAAGACTTCGATGATTTGAGACCTCTTTTTAATTCAAATAATCAAGCAAAGAGTTTTCTTGATAGACTTTGGAAGAATTGAATGAAGGAAGTATATGAGAGAATATGGGTTTCAAAATACAAATTAGTGCAAGAATGGGAGAAAGAAAATGGGATCACACCAAAAGATAAAAGAAGATCATACAAAAAGACAAGAAAGAAAAAAAAAGAAGAAGAAACTACCAGATAAACATATTAAGAAAAAAGAAAAAGATAAAAATGAAAAAAAGAATAAAAGATGAGGTTTAATTTTAGAGATAACTAAAAAAGAGATTCTAAGGTGGATTGAAGAAGGACAACAGGCAGATTAGTGAAAAATTAATATGTAGTCTTAACAGGCAGTAAGATCTAGCTAGTGACGTATTATTGAAGCCAATTGCAGGATAAGATAATACAGAGGCAAATTTTACTATAGCAGATCACACATAAGTACTTAGTAAGCAATTGGGTAAGTCTCTACTTGTAATTTAGATACTATAAAATATAATTTTGTAGAAAATTTTAATAGTTTAGATAATTATTACAAAGCCTAATAAAGTGAAAGCAAGACTGCCGAATTTATAAAAAAAAATAATAATGATGCAATTCAAAAATTTTACAAAATATTTGCATAATATGATCATAAAAATTTACTTATCAAGATATCATATGTTAAATAATTTTAAGAGTAAATCTAGATCCCGCATCCCTGCATAATATTTAAATCTAGCACCTGCAATGCTATATACTTATATATCGTAATTTTACTAACAACTATTTTTTTTTAACCAACTCTAAAAATAACCTTAAGAATAACCTAACTCTAAATTGGGCATAAGATCTAAATCAGATAATAAGATACAAAAGCATGCCCAAAATGTGGAACAGATCGATCGAAAAAAAACGTATATATGGGAAACCTAAAAACTTTAATCACTTTATATCAATATATATAGAATAAAGGTTATGCTATATACTGTATATATTTTGCTTATTGTCTTTATACAACGAGATTCCTTTCGTTTATTGAGATTGATAATTTAGTAACTTATTTCCGATGTACTACTAGTTTATGCATCATATTAAAGTTTTTAAATATTCTGCACTATATGTACTTATAATTTTGTAAGCTTTGTCTAAATTCTCTTTTCAAGCTAACTAACGTTGAAATCTAGTTAACTGTTAATATGGGTCGTAACTTGTTTTGTGATACAAATTGCAAGTATCACGTGATTATGTATGACCAAAATTGATATAGAAAAATTGCTTTTTGTTACACTAACAAAATGTGATCAAAGTTACTAATTCTTTATTATGTATATCTTTAAAAGATCAAACTACAGGTTACTATGCTATTGATCTACCTTTACTTCTATCTTCACCACCTCCTATATTGTTGTCATTATCCTTCTTCTTGTAAAAAGCCGCATTGTGGCCCACATTATTACAAATATGATATTTGTATGACCTTTTACTTTTAGATCCTCCCCGGTAACCCTGTTCTTTTTCAACACTACTAATATACCTTCGCTTGGCTGGTCATCCCCTAGTAAAAACTTTGCCCGAGTTCTTTACATTTTCAAGATTTACCTCATTCATATCTTGGCTTTCTTTGGTTTTAGCTTTGGATTCAAATTCTTCTGACTGATCACTAGTTTCATTTGTTTGAGTTTCTGAAGTATTATCAGATACATCAGCTACGGGTCTTTCAGGCACATCATTATGATTTTCATTACGTTTTTTGTTGATATAAGATTGAAGATATATAATAATTTCATTATTATCTTTTTCAACTGCAAGTAATGTGGCTTCTCATGCTAATCCTCACACGCGATCATAAAAGTTTCTTTTATGAATGGATTTTTTAACCATAGGTATAGTTGTTGGAACAGTTATAGGTTTTCATATTAGTAAAACCTTTTTGTCATTAAAAATACCCATCTGATATCTAAACATTGCACTTTTTCTTTCTGGAATCGATTCATCTTGATAATGGTCTTTATACCACTTCCGAGATATCATACTAATATGAAATACCACAATTTTTGAATATATCATAATGCAAAAATAGTGATGGCATATAATTCTTTTTAAGATGGACATTAGGCATGAGGATAAGAAGGATACCACATTGGCAATAATAACAAAATGTACATGATATCGTTTTTCACTTCTTATGTCTATAACTTTCCAAATTTCTAACACTTCTTCCCAACCTACTTCATCCATAATTGCCTGGAGCGTAATAAGGCGCACATCACATTGGTCTTCAATAAATCTATCAGATGCTAGTTGATTATTTTCCTTTATGACATAAGGTTTATTAGTTTAAACTTGAATTTAATTGAACATCTAATTTAGATAATTACCTATTCACAGTGTAACTCTTCAATACTAAGCTCGATCTCATTTGTACTAACAAATAAACACTGAGATATCTCTATTTTAATTGCATTAAAAATAGGTTTAATAAGATATTCGTCTATAACCTTTATTATTTCAGAAAACAGATCTTGCCTGACAATAGGAATAGTATTCATCGTAGTGGCTTGTCTGTAATCATTAAATTGATTCCATTGTACTTCATTGTTTAATCGTGCGTCAAGCTGATCAGCTAGCTCACATAGCGTACTATTTACTTTTAACTGCTGTTTAATAACTCAATTATAACTTTCAACTCTTAATATGCTTTCAATGCCTGTCGTGAATATTCTGTAGAGATAAGCCTGAGCCAACAAACGGCTTTTTGAATCTAGAACACGTAAAAGATAGTCCTTTGCTACTGGAAATCATTGAGTAATTCATTCTATCTTTCTTTAAAGAGTGGTTCGCATAAGCTATTATGGTATTTGTAAAACTGCTTGATGAAATCATCCTAATTAACACCTAATTTTGCTTTTAGATTCTTAGATAAGTTTTGTGCTATATAGAAGATACAGTGGGCAGAATATGTCTCAGAAAAAGAAATTGAAATTGCTACATCAAGGGCGGGATTTTCGTCAGTGAACATAACGATTGAAACTTTGCCTACGGTTTTTTTGATATGCTCAAGTATCCAAATGTGCATATCAATAGTTTCATCACTCATTAATACTTGGCAGGCGAGACGGGTTTTGCACTTGTTGTCAATTATTACGAAAAGTCCTAATGGCATTTGGTATTAGTTGGTTTGAGCTGTGTTGTCATTAACAACAACATCATAGTACCTAAGCCAAAGATCAACCTGGCCCGGAGACATCCAAAGAAGCCGAATTAGACGATTATCATTATCCAGCTCGAAGTCGACAACCCAATGTGGATCCTCTAACTTTTTTTGCATCAGGGAAGTAAGCAAAACTAACGCGTCATTACTTATCTTGGTTATACTTTTTGCCTTTTGAATTGCATTCGCTAAATCTTGGTCTTGAAAATTTAAATCAGGGAATCGAGCCTTTAAAAGGCTTTAGTGACAAATTTTCATGTTTTGTTATTATATTTACTTCATCAAGTGCTTCTTTGAATAGTGACCGATATTTCACTCCAAAACTTTGAGTTTTAGGAAGAAGGACATGATTATGCTAATTAATATATGTTGTAATTGAAATTTCTGTAGCTCATTTCGAAATGGATAAGTTGATATGCCACAGGCAATTTGTTTTTTTGGTTTTTGTATTTCTCTGTGTTCCATTTAAAGCAGTCTCAATCATTTTTTTAGATTTATACTTCCCGCTGAATTCACAAATGAAGGTCCTTTTGTGAATTTGGCCTAAATTGTTTCGTTCCATCTGGTATTTGGTAACAGCAAAACCATTTCTAGCTCCATATTCGTTAAAGTAGACTTCAACTTCATCCCACGAATTAAAGTAAGTATTCATGGAAATGTCTTCTAAGGCAATTATAAGTGGGCCTATAATGTAAGTTTGTTAGTTTTATGCAGTATTTTTGTGCTGCCGGAAAAAAATAGACCTCGGGTTTTAAAATAGAATTAGAGTTGAGAAATGGATATAAGGCATTCAAAAATTAGCATATAGCCAACTCTAGATACTGTATAACGAACTCTGGTGACCAACTCAAAATTTAGGGTTCAGTATAAAAGGGCTATGCTTCTTAAGAAATATAGTAACTTTCTATAATGAACTTTTTTTTTTTTTCCAGAATTATCAGTTCGTTATAGATAGAGTTAACTGTAGATAGAGAAGAAATTGGTGTTGAAAAAGATGAACCTAATCTCTGGTATTAGAAAAACTTCTGGGATTTAGGCTGGTTTTAATATGTTTGGTTGGGACAATTTATTATTGCCCGGGATTATGTATAGGTGGAAGGTTTTTAGTGTAGTTGGCAAATATGAAGGTAAGATCTAGTTTCACAGTGGTATCTATTTTGTATTCTGATACTAACTATTTCTGTTATTTCTGTCATGTCTAATATTTTTTGTTTGTGTTGTGGGTGCATTATTGAACTCTTCAAGGTCATCCTTTTCGAATATAACTAATGTGTTTATGGTAAGTTTTAATCAACGATTTGATAAAATTTGCTACTTATAAGACTTATAAAATTTATTAATTAATTCAGTTATATCACTGTTGGCGATGTCAAATGAGTTTGCTATATAGGGTCTTTTATTTTGCTCCATATATGGAGTAGAAGATATATATTTGATTTGCATTGCAATGCAATATTTGGTTTTGCATTTGTGTTATATGATGTAATTTGTAAATTTTGGCTTGAAGTTTTTGGGAGTGATTTTTTTTTCCAATATGATTTGATTGTTTGTTTCATAGCAATTTTAATTCTTGTTTATATTAAATTTTATTTTTAATTTAGGGAATGCAATGCTGTTATATCTCGCTTTAGTACTATTTATGTAAATTATACATTTTAGCCAATCGGATTTTATATCAATATGTAATGCTAGATTTAAATGTTTTACACCCTGCTAAATAAACATTTATTTTAATTTTAATATAGACGCTAGAATAGTAAATTCTCTTAAGTGTATTTATTTATTTATTTATTTATTTATTCTTTTATTCATTTGTTTGTTTCCAGGTTTGGATTGAAAGTGTATGATTTGTAAAAGTATCATAGTGGCTATTTATGATAGGTGAGTATAATTTCTAATTAATAAAATAATTCTTAAGATTATATAAATTATTTAACTAAATTTTACTTAGCTATTTTTAGGCAATCGAACAGGAATTTATGTATACATACTCGGGCTATGTTGTTCAAAAGATTATTTGTTAAGAAAAAGGAGCCATTTTATTAGTAGGTCTACTATTCTATAATTTTATAGCAAATTATTATTATTATGACCAACCAATCAATTCTATAAGTTCGAGTGTTAGATGAATCCAACTGTTATTAGATTTACCTGGTCATTTAATTATTGTTAACCTAAGTCCTTTAGACAAGTTAATTTAAGAGTAAAATAGTATTGAAGGTTTTTTTATCTTAAAACTTATATACTATACATTATTGTTAAACACGGGAATAAGCTAACTTTATTATATCTACAGGAAACCAAGTTCTCTAATAAAGTTCTTTCAATAAATTCAACCATTAAAGCAGAGGCTGCTATTATGAACTCTAATATTGTTTATAGTTCTATAGTAACTGAGATCTTACTGGTCAAAAATAGGCCTAAACAGGTTAGAAATTAAAATTTTTGGTTAATCAACTATTTAAATTATTATATTTATATAATAGTGGGAAGAAGTGTTGAAACTTACAATGCAAGGAAAACTCTATGGTATTCATGTTTCACTAAGACATATTATGAAATGAAGAATTGTGTCTAAAGTAAGTAATCTTTATAAGTATTATCATAAATCTTATATTGACACATTCATTTATTCAGGTGCAATATTTACTGTCTTTACTATCATCTAATTTTGGGTTAGAAATTTTGATGAGTAAAAATGAAATGATTGATTTTAAAGATTTCTTAAGCAGTATGTTTCACTATTAAGCTATACAAAATTAATTGTTGGTTTCATAACTAGGCCAGTTCAAAATTTAAAATATAAGAAAATTTTTTGTTAAAATTAAAAAAAAAACTGGTTAGCCCAGGTTTGTTTCAAAATTTTTATGATATGAAACCTACGAAATTAACTTCATATGATATATGTATTTTTGAATTTTTTATATATAATTATTAAATGATTGTTATTATATTTAATTTAAGAGGTATTTAGAAGACCTAATAAATTGTAAGCCAATAGTTATATATACAATATTGGCAAAAAAATTTTTTTTTAAATTTTTCTATTTAGTATTAGTTATTGGGTGTAGATATTTTTGTGCTACTACTTATATGTCAAAAAATCATACCTTACCAACTTAGCTTTGAATCCGAGGTATAATTATATTAAGTTATTACTTTATATTTAGTTATTATCTTTGTCAAATTAAAATAATTCTAATCCAACGCAGTCATACCTCTCGAAATGCACCTATAGAGACTAAAATTTAGCAATGTGATATGTAGAAGTATAGAGATGGTGCATTTAGAAAATCTAACCGAATGTAGTACATGATAAATAAATAATTAGATTTTTAAATATAGAGCGATTATATAAACTGTAAATGTGCATATACAAGACCCAGGCTTATTTCATTTTATCAATTTACAATCCAAAATATTTTTAATAAATCTAGATATGATAATTTAATTTCTAGTAAATTACTATAAAATTTACATATCATATTGAGTTTTTGGTGAATTTACTTGATTTTAGAAATAGCAAAAACCCCAAAATTTATACAGATTAGTTATGACCTATATGAGAGATGTCTGGGGTCCTGGGATTATAGCAAAATTCACTAAGATCTGCTAGAACTATCTATCTTGGCTTGTACCTATTATATTATATTATTTAAAAAAAAACACTGTATTAATATTATTTGTTATTATTATTATTATTATTATTTTTAGCTTTTTGATAGTCTTACTGGAGCTCAAATACAATACTTTATTAAACAAACTTGGATGGAATGCATAATGACAATATAGAAAATTGCAAGCCCAACATCACTTAGCTGCATTTAGTGTGCCCAAGAACAACTTGTCGAACCAACCTACATGTAAGTTAAAAGACCTTGTCAGCCTGCCAAGAGCTTATCTCTTTATTCTTACTTTCTTCACTGAGAGCAAAAGAAAATAATGTTCTGTATTCTCAATACCAGAACATACATTAAGAAGAAAAAGGGTTTACAAACAAAAAGAAAACAAAACAAGAAAGGAGAAATAATAAGAAATAAAAATAGGAAAAATAGAAAATGTAAAAAAAGAAAAAACAAAGAGATAAGCCCAGACAGGCTAAACAAGAAAAAGCTATCTTCTATGAGAAATAGCAGCTACCTCTATCAAGAAATAGCACAAAAATGAGCGTAAAAAAAAAGAAAAAAAAGAGTACACTATTATAATCTGTGCTAGACAAGTATAAAAATTATATATCAAATACAACATTTGTATATCTCTACTGTAAAGCTTCATCTTAATGTTAGTATTCCTTTCTAACCATATAACCGACTCCGGAATATTTGGCCTGACCTCTTAATTCATATTTTAAGCCAGGTGCTACTGCTATCTGTAGATCTATATCTCAAGCTACCTGCTGCCGTCATTAGAACCTGGGACCTGTTCAAATTAGTAGTACCGTATTCATCGAACACGTGGTTGTAATCTACTCGGCTTTCCAGATTTGAGATGTAAACAATGTCGATCTTTTGAAGAGGGTAAGCCAAATCTCCACTTTTTATCCAAAAAAAAATTTTCAAAGATGGTATTATTTGTTATTATTATTGTTATATTATTATTATTATTATTATATTATTTTTATTTTTTTTTATACTTGGAGAGTTTATACTTTTATCTCTTGCAAGTTTTGTCAGCATATTACATCATATCATATTATTATTATTATTTTTTACCCATAGGAAGATGAACCTGCTTGGTGAAACGGATATACATATTCTACAAATCGACGAAGGTTCAACAAATTGAGCCCACGAAAAACAATTACCTGATTAGAAAACTCACGATGATAATTCACTAGTTTCTGGAATTGTACAGAAACAATATTATTGTTGTCGAAATATTGATATTGACTAAAATAAGAGAAGATTTAATTAAAAACCTTGACTTAACAAAATTATATTAGATGTTGAATGAAAATGGAAAGCACTAAAAAGAAATAATACCCAAGAATAATCCTAATAACTTATCTAAAGTCTTGATAACACAAAAATCTCCGAATAAAAACTTCTAATTGCAAATAATCAAAGAAGCCAATAAATGCCAAAGAAATTAACTCTATGATTAGACAACCGATAAATAACAAAAGAGCAAGACTTCTGCTCAACATAGCCAAAGAGAAAATATTCAGTAATAACATCTTGAAAAATAAATACCAAAGAAGAAATCCACAAAAAGCAAGACCTCTGCTCAAGAAAGACTTAGTAATAATGCTATTTAGGAAATAGACCCAAGAGATTAACCTAAAGACAAGTATTGTTTTAAAACAGGAAAAAAAGACTAAGACCTAAGTAAGAGAAAGCTATAAACCCAACTCAAGAATAGGTAGAAGCCCTAAGAAAACTACTTGGCTAAGTAAGAAGCAATCTATAATAGCTTTTGGAAAGAAAGAGAAAAACTATGTTAAAAATAAAGAGCAAAATAGACATAGAAATGCTCTAATAATAAAGCTAAAACTAAATTTACAATTTCTATTAGAAGTCGCCTATTGAGCCTTTGCAAAGACTGGAAGGAAAAAATTAGCTTAAGAAATACTGCCAAGCTATAGGTAACTGAAAAGTTACTAAAGAAAATGCCAAAAGGATCCCAAGATTGATCCAACTAAATAGATAATGAAATTGGTGAAAGACTAAATATAAAAGAAGAAATAGACAAAGAAAAACATTAGCAACAAAGTAATTAAGTTCCATACAAAATAACGGAACTAACCAAACAGGAAATCGGCTCCAAATCTATGTGCCAAAGACTTGTAAGTAACTAATCTCAGAAGTTACTATATTAAGGATCTATGACTGAAATGAGACGAGAATGACGTGATTAAGCCTGACTATGAAGCTGTAAAAAGAAGTATGAGTTTTATATTATAGTTGTTTGATAAGCAGAATATAGTATAAAAAAATATAACAAAATGAAATAAGAGAAGAAAAAAAGACAAACTGATGATCTTAAAATATATATAGATCAAGTCACATGAATGATATCACGAGATCTATCAATGGACAAAAAAATGAAGAAATTGAAGCTTACTCAAGCTCTTGATAAGAGTAAGACTATTATTCAAGCTAATATTGAATAAATCCGAAAGATTCTAAAGTAAAGATAGAAAGAAGAGTTCTTAGTACTATTAACCAGAAAAGCAAAACTATATTCTGGAAACAGAAATCCAATATTTTTATTAATATTTTTATTAATACTAATTTAATAACATTAATTTATAATATTCTTAAAATTAATTTAATATTTTTATTTTTTAGAATTAATTTAATAATCTTATTATTATTATGTATTTACAATTAATATTTTAATATTATTTTTCAATAAGTCTAATAATAAGTTCGTAAATATCGTAAAAGA